GCACCAAAAGTCAGGAAATACTTAGGGCCTAAAAGTTATGTGCTTTGTGTACTTCTCAAATACATAGTTTCCAATTAAACACTATTTTTGGGTCGCATATAGTCTGTCCATTTGTTGCTGATATTGTTCCTCCTCTTCCTTTCCCCTTAAAAGGCTCAGCGAGGGTCCATTGGAGTTACTGACGGAGAACTCGATGCGAGTGAAGGAGGTGGAGGAACTGCTACAACGCTCAGAGCACAACGGCTTTCCAGTGGTGGAATCCCTTGCTTCTCGTCACCTCGTCGGATTCGTTTCACGTATGGACCTCATCAAAGCTCTCGGTAGGCGATCTTCTCATCTTTTAGCTAGCAAGGGATTCGGTTAATTGCACCTTCATTGAAAGATTATCACTTCTCGGAAAGCAAGCTCGAGAACTCTGTCCTTAGAAGATGGATAGTTTGGAGAGGCTATAGCCAATTAATAAGGTAAAAATTTGATTGTGTACGAAGCCCCTAATAGTTACATCAAGTTCTTTTAGAACAAATCGTATGCTTGTGCCTTAGAAAATCGTTGTTCTAATCAGCTCCAGATTATTTCATGAATCGGCTGTTCATTTCCCCATAGATCTCGACCGACCGCATTCCTCGCGTAGGTATAGTTTCAATTCGATCGTCTGCTTCACCGATAGAACACCTCTTTTGGATCAGAGTAACCGAATGGACAACCCAGAGGCCTTTCCTCTTCTGGCTGATGTTCGAAACATCGTCGATTTGGTGAGTAATTCAGTTGTAGGTGCACTAGCTTCATGTCCTTATCGTGAGTCTATGTGAACCGAGTGTCCGTGTTTTTCCATGCCTAGTCTCCCACAACCTTAACCCAGGCGACCCCAGCATCCACCATCTTCGATGTGTTCAGGAGTCTTGGTCTCCGACAGGTCCTGGTGACTAATCTTGGGTTAGTGACCTCAGGTTTATTCCGTCATTATTCCTGAGTCAAATAGCTCCAACGTTCATGATTTTGTCTCCTCTTTAGACGTGTCACTGGCATCATAACAAAAAAGGATCTACTGCGGTTCTTGGACGACTGTTGACCTCCCCTTTCAATGGCAAAAAAGGTAGAAAATCAGCGTTTGCCTATCCCCCTCTTCCGCTGTGATAGTAAACTACACCCACTTTTCATCACGATCACATTGAGCTGTTGCATTCATGTAAAAATACAGACAACTCATCACTACGCAGTTTCTGTTCTACACGTGAGAACCGCAGTAGACGCAGAGTGTGTTACCGAACGGAGGCGTACTCATTTGTAGCTGCAACCATTGCAGCTCAAGTCTCAGCTGAACCCCTGTCGTTCTGCAAAACCTGGTGACACAATCCGATCATGTTGAAATAACTGACGATGGAGAATCGTCCTTTGAAATGCCACATGGGCACGTGGAAAGTGCCATAAAAATGTCCTACAGCCCCAACGGCAATCCACTCCTCGTAGAGCGTCGCAACTCGTCACTGAAGAAACTCAGGTAAGCGCATGTCAACATAATTAGCCTACGAAACTAGCGTCAGCCAGATAGATCCAGCTCCGGATCCTAACTTATCGCATTCCAGAACCCCATGACCCGCATTCGCTAGCCAAGACCTACTTTATGGGACCTATCTACTCAACCTAGCTCTCATAGCATAATGAGCAGACGCAGTTCAAAAAACTCGTACAAGGCCAAAAGCAAGAGGGACAATGCGCTTACGAGAAAGAAAGGACGTAAAATCGGTAAACACGCATATAATTAAAAATAGCTCCCTATGAAGGTACAAGTAAAATACTGTTTCGGTGAGTGCAGAGTTAAAAGCGAACCATCAGCCTAGAACTCTTGGGATTGAGCCTTCTTAGCATCGTCTGAGGCGGTTTTCTTGGGAAGCAGAACACTCTGAATATTTGGAAGAACACCGCCCTGAGCAATGGTAACATTACTAAGCAACTTGTTAAGCTCTTCGTCATTTCTGATGGCCAGCTGAAGATGGCGTGGAACAATGCGAGTCTTTTTGTTATCCCGTGCTGCATTGCCAGCGAGTTCAAGTACCTCAGCGGCAAGGTACTCCATTACAGCAGCCAAATAGACAGGAGCACCAGCACCAATGCGTTCGGCGTAGTTCCCTTTTCGAAGAAGCCTATGGACTCTACCGACGGGAAATTGAAGACCAGATCTAAAGGAGCGAGACTTGTGATTCCGCGCGGTGTTCTTCTTCCCCTTACCACGTCCAGACATACC